CTGTGGGAACAGAGAGCACACAGGTTTCAGACTCCTCAAAAGGAACATAACAGTCTCAGAATATATACTGCCACAGTACTGTGAGTGTGTTTACATCCACCTGATTTTTCTACATCTTCAGTTTGTGTTAGTGTCTGCATGAAATGCACTAAATCTAGATGGAAACTTGACTAGTGAACAAATGATTGAAGAACAGAGTTTATACGGCTTCTTGTACTGTGACCTGACTGCTGGGTGTGTGCTGATGGTCACTACGTGTGTGTGTGCATGTTCTTGCATGGTCTTGACCCTGTGACCCCCCGCCCCCATCTCTGGCCCTGAACTCGTTAATAAAAATGTCTGTGCCCATGTCTTAGTTTAGCTGCACTCTCGGTTCCCACGCTTCCCCTCTGTCTGTCTCTGGGGAAGGAAAACTAGAGGACTGCTGTAAATACTGCTGCTACAACACACACACACACACACAGCTTGCCTTCTGTCAGTCTTTGTGCTTTCTGTGTGTGTGTGTATATATATGAATACTGTAAGTTTATGTATGCAGAGTGTACTACTACTGTTTTTATTTGTGCAAAATACAAACACAGGGTTTCACATCACATTTGTGTCAGTTGCATTTCCTGGACCACAGCTGGTTTACAAAATGATTCTGATGTGACACAAATCAAGCTCATGTCTATGTATTTTAAACTCAGGTGGACACAGAGAAACTGCAGTAAAGCTCAAACATATAAGTGAAACCACATACTGAGAGAACTGAAGTGATCAAACTCAGATCACGGATATGTTTTTGATTGTCCCTTACTTATTAAATGTCCCTCCCTTCCTGTTTTTCTAAAGATGTTGAATAAACTGTTTGCACATGTGTGTGTGTGTGTGTGTGTTACGTATTTATATTTTTCACAAGTGCTCCCAGCATCATTAATAACAATATTACTTCCTTGTATAGACTTTCGTCTGACCTTTGCTTGCATGTGCGTGTATGTGTGCCATTATCCAGCAGTCAGTATTGTTCTGTATCCTGTCTTGATAACGGGCACACATAGCTGCACACACACACACACACACACCCAAAGGCCCTCTCTCTGGTGAATGATGGACCACTGACATCGCTAGGATGTCCCGAGGATGTTTTTGATCCGATAATAAACTTTATTTATAACTTACATTATTAATATTCTACAGAACCACATTTGGGAACTTCCGTGGGCATCCTAAGTGGCTATGAATATTTGTAGAAAATCAGTAGTTTTCTAGTTTTTGCACATTTTTATGTTTAACTTTATCTGTGTGTTTTTAAAATGTTTTCTATATATAGACTTTTTGGTATTTTAGGAATGAACTTGAATTTCAGAGCCCATTTTCCAGAGCTGACCCTTGTTGAACTTACTGGGTCTTGTGAAAATCCCTCTCCCTACCTGTCTGTCACTGTTCTAACATCAAGTCATTTCTGACCACAGCTACAGAAAAATGGCTTTTCTATCTTCTGTGTACATTTAATTTCTGCATGTAAATGGTGTTTTGTTGGTGAAACCTTTTAGAGACCAAACACTATTCAGTGCATCACTTAAAGAGACAGAGAAATTTCATAAACCTGGCTTTAGAGTCCTGCATGGCTCTAAAATGCTGTTTAGGAGGAGATTTCACTATGGCAGGGTAAAATTAACAAGGAAACACTGAAAGGGTGAAAACTAAATTGAATGAAAATGTTTGAAATTTGTGATATTGAATATGCAGGTAAATATTTAGCTAGATAAGCCCAAACATCTGAAGTTGGAAGCAGCATGTTGTGTTATTGAATCCACCTGACAGACATACACATACTTTACCTGACTTAGGCAATCAGCTTGATTAAGTCCTGAGAAACTCTTGACAATGTTGGTGACGTGGCAGCTCTTCTCGTCCTCAGCAGCTACTGTTGAGGTGCCTTTGAGCAGGGCACTGCTTCCCCTTCCACTGATCCTCAGCAGCAGTGGCAGAACTTTGTTTGTGAGGTGGTTGCACGAGTTTTCCAGTTGTTTAAGGTGTGTGACTGTTTTCCTCTAGTCGCAAGTTTGTGTGTTGCTGTCCAGCTTCAGTTGCTGAACGTCTTCAGGGTCTCAGCAGAGTCAGTCGGCCAGAGACACAAACGTATGGACAAATGGACAAGGAGAGATCAGTCAGCTGAGTTGACAGTGAGACAGTTGGTCCCACAGCAGACAGATGCATGAGGTTGTGTCCAGAAGTCTGAACTGAGATGTGTGTGAGACTGTAGCTTGTACCAGAGCTCAACCCCTGCTACCTCTCTTGCTCCCTCTCTCTCTCCCTCTCTCTCCATCGTCGCCATCTCCAGAGGAAGTGGGCTTGGTGCCTCGCTGCCTGCTATTCAACTCTTATGTATGTGCATGAGTGGGTTTGTGGTGTCTGGCATCTAAAGGAAGTCAGATATTGTGCAGGACACAATGGCTGCAGGTCCCAGTCCTGCATTCTTTGTCACTCCATTTTTCTCTGTGCCTCTTTTTGTCTCTCTCATTAGTCAGTGGCTTAGCCGCTGTAAATGACTCAAATGAATTAATTAATTAATCCACAAGCAGCTGTTTGTGCTTTACAAACAGTTTCCAAATGTATTCTGCCTAAATTAAAGAAAATTCTTTGATAATTCAGAAAACAAAAGCAAATAAGGCTTTTTTTTTTTACTGTTTACTTTTGATACTGATGATGGTGCTGCAGTAATAACAGGAAAAACTGGAGACAAAGTTGTGGGACTGTTATGTTAGTTAGTTAAATGAGTTGACTTCCAGTGAGTTTTCATGAAATGACCTGGACTCCAGTTTTCTTATTTAAATGTTGTGTGTGGCAGACGTTAGCCACAGGTACATGTACATTCATTGAACAATTCATATGTTAAAATGATTTTAAAAACGTTCAAAACATCAATTGATAAAAAATATTTTTCATCCCTAGTGCTGAATGAATGATGTCTGAAAGGTTTATGAAGCAGAAACTTTGTGTAAGTGTGTACAGCTTGTTGGTGTGAAAGGACTAATAAAGGATCCTCTCTTGTTTTGTTCTGAACGCACCAGAGGGAGTGTGAGCAGATTCTGAGCTCTTGTCATCAGCTTCTCCCCTGCTCTCACACCTCACATAAGTGTGTGTATATGTTGCCATTTCAGTGTGTCTTTGCTTGTATCACACCTCTGTTATCATCTTGCTCATGAGAACGATAACATACCTTCCCTTAAAACAGCGCACACATAAAAATGATACGGATGCACTCTGGGTGACCTCTGTGGACTATTTTTAGGGAACACTCTACTGGTGTTGGTGCAGCGCACATGGAGAGCTGGGTTTATCAGAATATTACCACCTCCTCTGACACATAGCTGACGGTCACACCAGACCGAGAGAGAGACAGAGAAAGGGAGACAAAAGGTAGAGTGGGCCAATTTACCATAAACCACCTCTAACTAGTGATGTGTCTGCTGCAAATGACCAAATCACAGTGAACTTGTCTTTAACATAAATGAGAAGATCTGAGCCATCGCTGTCAAAGAGTTGTTCATTTGGCTCCCGGTTATTTAATGGAGTAATAATACTGTTACTGTTAAATAAGCCCAAAAGATTTATTATGTTCCTGCATGGATAAATACCAAATGTGATTATATGATTAATCAAAGTGTTGTTTAATAAGGCACAATGATTCTGTGGAGGACATGGTGTTCTTGCAAAAGAATGAAAATGAATGACGCAGAGGAAAGTGTCTGACAAGTGGAAGACTGATCTTTGACCGGACATGTGTGTTGTACAGACTGGTAGTATGTTTTGTGAGGAGGTCATTCAGGCTCTAGTAACAGCTAATTGTGAACTTGTAGGTTTTTCTACAGCAGGTCGAGTCATTAGTTTCTTCTGTGTTTGTTGGTCAGAAAACTAATATCTTCAGGTCTCTCTCCCCTCAGTTGTGTGTCACTGTCTGAACATGTCAGCTGCCCACGTGCTTTTAGTTAATCGTTCCTCAGGACGACAGCTCGTGTGTGAGGCAGCCGCGGTGTTTGTGGGGGTGGGTGGGGTGACTGGACAGCTGGTCTCCCCTCTCCGCTCTCTTCTCCTCCTCCTACCCTTCCCCCATTTTTGGTAACTTAGACATTTTTCCACTACAGAGCAGGCAGACGCTTCCCTGACCACTGGCTGGATATATACTCTAAGAATAGATCCTGACAATAAGGATAGCTGAATGTGAACGTAGCACCTGACTGACTGACTGGCTGACTGTCTGCTGACCAAACACTGTGGACTGATTCCCTGGATGCTGACTGACAGGCTGATTACAGAGCAACAGCTTCTGGACAAATTGTGTTTAAACTGGCATGGTATGGCTGCTTTAATCATATTAGTAGTAGTAACAATATTCATTGTCATAGTAGCAGTAGCTGTAGTAGCATTATTAAATTAATTGTTTAAAAATGTCAAAATTGTAAATATTTGCCTCATTCAGATAATTTAATTATTTCACCAGTATAGTACATCTAATAGTCCTCTCCTCTCCTCTCCAGATGTTGACTGTCTCCCTTCTCATGCTGCCGTTGCTCCTCACCTCTCCTCACATCTCATCCTCTCCTCTGGCCAAGGTAAACTGAGAGTGTGAAGTTTATTCCTTTACTAAAATGTCTTGGATACTCAGAATTGCCACCTTCAAATTAAACATGAGAGACCTGACCAGTGACGATGCAGGTAATGAGAACACTGATGGGGACGTTGATGATGGTGCAATTTCTGTTTCCGTCCAGCAGCTGTTTCCAAGGTCAAGTGTGAATGTTCATGCTCAACCTAAAAACAAGGTAGCTTTTCTCTGTTTTTAATGGTCTGAAGTTGGGAGTTATTGTTTTCACCTGCCAAAGTGATGCGATTTGAATACAAAGACTAAAACAGCCACTCTGGCTTGATTCCAGTAAAGGTTGATACAGTGTGCAGGTTTGCACTGTGTATTTCTGTCCAGCT